ATAATAATAATAATAATAATAAACAACGATTACTACACCACATGTTGCGCGTATATATTTAATACACAATATTTCTTAAAGCATTTTTTAAATAATGTAAAAATTTGTCTAAAAATAAGATGTAGGTTTCATTAAAAATCGGTAGTAAAAACCACGACACAACACTTTGATTAACAATTTAAAGACATCTAAAAATATTTTGTCAAATCATTTTTCATAGCTTAAATCTATCGCGTCTTACTAGCAACTAATGATACATTCATGCATGCTTGCAATGAACCAGCAACGTGACACGCTACTGTCGATTATGTTCTTTTATCTTCAATTGACAAATTTTCTCCATTTAAATAGTCCTTTGTCTTTAATTTACAATATTAAAAAATCACAAACTTTCTATATCAACGATAAAACGTTTATTCTTTTTACTTGAAAATAAATAAAATCAATTGAAAATTCCTTGAAAATAACTAAAAATCAAAATTGTAAAATATCCGCATATTTTTTCATATATTGAAATGCATATACAACAAAATAATATATATGTTCATTTAATATTATTTGTCCATTTATATTGTATTTAATTGGATAATTTTAAGCGGTAGAACGTCAATCTATGCTTTGAATATACTATGGTTATACGTAAATTATTATAAAAAATTATTAAGCGACGAATCGATTAAACAAATGTTAATGATTTCTTATAACGTAAATATTGTTTAACAATCAATATTAAACAGTCGTGACTTTTATACCGATAAACAAACATAACAGAGACCAACAAGCTTAAAAACCTAGATACTATATTAGTCACTAGGGGAAGAATACTATCAAATGATTCCTACAGGAAAATTTACGCGGGAATTGTATCAACCTAAATGATAAAATGCTTTAATCACAGACGAGATACAGGATAGACCTAACACCTAATATATTTTTCTGTCCAACACTCCTGTCAAGTTTACAAAGTAGATGTAATACAGTTCTTTGGTAATTTAACAACAATGTCATACATATTTAGCGTACAGTGTGCATCAGACAGCATCTTGAAAATTAATTATAAATTACAAGTATCAATTGAATATAATAAGAACGACAAGGAAAAGAATAGGGGAAGACGAGAATAGCACTAGAGGAATGAGTTAGACAAGGAAAGGAATAGAGGTAGGCAAGGATAGCAATAGTGACGAGTGTTGGACAAGGAAAGCGATTAGGGATAGACAAGGATAGAAGAGTGACGCGAGACGCCATCTTGTTTTTGGTGACGCGAACTACAACTTTTTAATAGGAACACACCATGTAAACAGAGGTATTAGACAAGGAACGCAATACTGTGCAAGAAGGATAGAGAGAAACGTTTCTTATTGGTCCGCGTGTATCTAAGCTCCACCTTCTGATGGCGACCAGGTCACCATTAAGTCGGACAGGGAATAATCATTAATAACTTGATAATTACGATGATTCTGTGAACTTTTAGAATTGAAGAATAAAGTGTAGACCTTTAGCAACTTTCTCATATAGATTTTAATGCGCTAAACCCTTTCAATAATTAGTTATTAACAATTTTAGTACGTGTTATCGGGAACGATACCGCATAAATTTTCGGTTTTTCAATAATTCCGTAGTTTTGTAATAAATTCGCATGCAACTAACTGTATGCGTCTGAAAGGCAACTACCTTAGCTCCATTCTCATATAATTTTTATTAACATATTCGGTTTAGTTTAGGAGTTATTAAATATTATTTGGAAAAGTATTGCACCCGTCGCATTCAATCGCAACAGGTTTTCGTTATTTCAAAGGAAATGCGACATTAATTATGCACTTTGAAGCACGTAGAATGTAGAATGGACTTTTATTTATATTCTGCAATTAGTTTGATAACCGTAAGTGGTGTGGTTTATTAGATATTAGCAATTATTTGTAGTAGTCGACTATACACGTGTACGATGAATAGGAGACTCTCCGAGTATGAAAATAATAAACTATACCGAGTATGTTAATAAAAATTATATGTGAATGTAGCTAAAGGAGTTGCCTTTCAGACGCATATAATTAGTTGCATGAGAATTTAGGAGAAAGCTATGAAATTATTGAAAAACCGTAAAGGTGTGCGGTATCGTTCCCGACATCATGTACTAAAATTGTTAATAACTAATTATCGAATGGGTCTACTACGTTAAGATTTATATGTGAAAGTTTCTGAAGGTCCGTACTTCATTCTTTAATATAAAAAGTTCACAAATTTGTCGTAAATAATGTGTTACTAAATATTATTTGAGTTTGTACTACTCTCGTCGTATTATAGCGTAAAGGATTTCCGTCATTTTCACGAATATTCATGATTAATTTTACACTTTCAAGCATGCAAAATACAGTACAGACCTTTGCCTATATTCTCCAATTATTTTTAAGTGCGTACGTGATGTGCTTTATTATTAACGAGTTGTTAATTCGTGCGGCCAAACACGAGATGGCGTTAGTTTAGACTGAAAAATTATTTATCCTTATTTAACGATATTCCTTTCCTTATCTTACTCATTTCTCTCAATTTTTAATACAATAAACAATTACATTACCTTCTTATTTGTAATTCCATTTAAATAATGTCGTAATCTTATTCTAAGCTAAATCGGTAACGTTGGGAGCGACACAAAAATGATAAGGGTCTTTTCGGCCCCCGTGCCGCGGATACAAAGTGTCATAAGATTGCTAATGACAGGTCTATCCTGTACGTCGTCTGTTACATTAACATGTAATATCTATATTATGTTAGAAAAATACCCTTGTAATTGCACCTTAACTATACCTGTCAACTATACATGTTAGTCATACCACCGTTACTAAGCAACCTCTGAATGCTACACAGTTTACTAAGTTTGCAGGAAACGTACATTATAATTGATAACATATTTTACTTGTAATTAACAATGGCAGACGACGTGAAACCGGAAGTAATTAAAAAAACTCAAGATTTACTTGGAAAATACTTTAAAAAACCACCGCTGACTGAAAAATTATTACGGAAACCTCCATTCCGATTTCTTCACGATATTGTATCAGCTGTAACGTCTTTTGCTCGCATTTCTTGGTGTAAATAAAACACAGCTGAAATTAATGTTTTTATAACTAATAAATGAATGGTATTGTAGGTCATAAAGGAAACTGGTTTTCTAGACGGTTTGTATAGTGAGGAAGAATTAAACTCAGAAAATATAAAAAACAAGGAGGCAAAACTTGCTTACTTAACAAAATTGATTGACGTCGTCAGTAAGTTATTATTTTTTTCTTGTACTATAAAATATATAGTGCATTTTGTATTCAAGCATATTGTACAATAATTTTAGAACTAGCTACTGGCTTTAATTTAACTGTAAGAGCTAGTAAGATAATCTCAGGTCAAGAACCATGTAAAACAAATGAGTTATTACAAGCAATTGGGAAAGCTTTAGACAAAAAGGTAATATTAATATAAAATATTTGGAAATGTACCAAAGGCAACAGCACAGAAAATTAAAAATACTTTACACATCAAGTAGAAAAGCAGTGTGGAAGCTATTGAACAATATAAAAAAAGTTTAGAAAAAGGTAAATCTACTTCAAGAAGTAAGTCATCTATAGGAAAAGATGAAAGAAGAGTATCATCAAAAGAGGTATCTCAAAAAAGGATTGCAACAGCTAAAGAAAAATCTACAGAGCAAAAGAAAAGACTTTCTAATGAAAGTAATGCAGCAACAAATGAAGTAGGAACACGTAAAAGTGGAAAGCAAGAATCTCCAAAAACTACTGAAGTTACACAAATTTCACAGGTTGAGGTAAATTAATCTATGTTGTACTTAAA